TCTAGTCCCCTACTCCCAAAACCAACCACGACATCACCCTCGGCCTATTGAAAAGACTCAGTATTGGATCTTAAATCGCGGGGATCGGTCGTGAAACGACCGAGCTATGTTGACTTCTCCTCTCCACCTTCCCTTCCCGCCATAGCTCCGGCGCAGTCCCTTCTCTCTACTTCTCCTATCCTACTAACCTATCACTAGAACTAACATCGGATTCAGACTCGCCCGGGGCTAGAACCCCAAGCTCACTTCTTCCCTCGCCTCAATTCACTACGTAACAGGGAAGGTCTCCACTCCCCTTTCTCTCCACCGCCTTTCCATAGCTCCACCACACTCCTCACACCTCGCACGTACCTAGCCCCCTTTCCCGTCCAAATCCACTCCGTCGCCTTCGACACCCTGTCGGCCTCATCCCCGACTACCCGATTCGGCAGCGCCTAATGCAACAGTCTGCCCGACGGCTTCACCTCTCCTCCCTGTTGTCGCCAACAACTTCCCGATACCGTACAGCCTGGCAGCGCCCGATTCCAAAAAAATTTCTCAACTGACGGGCCATCCTTACTTATGAGGCCCGCCCGTCCGCCCGGGCTATACTACTCCCCCTACATCGCCCGACTTCCCGCCAAGCGTCCCAACGATTCGGCTGGGGCGGTGCCCCGTGGCGGTACCAAAGGCCGCCCGACCTCCTCGACTTCGCCCTGCTAGTGGGTGAGGGATGGGGCGGACACCGCCCCCTTTTGCACGCACCTTTCCCAATCTGCGTCCGGGTTCATTCCCGGTATCTTTCACCTTGCCCCCGTCAGCCTGTACGCACCCGGCGCGATCTGCGTCTGGGTTCGTCCAGGGCCTTCGCACACCTTCCTTACATAGCGACAACGCAGATCTTCCGGTATCGTCCCAGTTTTCAACGGATGCCCCGAAGGACCTCGCTCCGGCCGGCGCGGCCCGGCCTCCCAATCAGCTGATGGGCGTACCACTGGGCCAGACCCTCGGGCCCGAGCAGCCGCCATAGCGTCACGCTCCTCAACAGAACGAGACCTGTGGATGATAAATAAATAAAAAAAGAAACAAAAACAGTATAAAATAAATGTAACATATAAAAAAAATTCCTAACAAGGGAAGGGGACTGCTGGTACCCTACTACCCCGTAGGTCGGGTCCATTGCCGTGCCAAAACCAAAAAGGGATAGCCCCACCGAGCCCTCAACCCCCTCAGTTTCCCCCATAGCTCTCCGCCGCCGCTGCGTTGATGCCCAGCGGGCTTGATCCCTGAACCTCTGCAACAATAATCTGACACCGTAACCTATAGGGCTATGCCCCATCTTGGAACAACCAGGCGCGGATTCCGATATAAAGTGGTGCCGCGCGATACCTAGGTCTGGGAAGAATGACCTAGGCCCCTTTTTCCTACCTACAACCAGCGTGCCAACGCTAGGCACCCACCCCTGCTTACTTAGACCGCGCCGCAGCCGCCCCGTGCGCCACCCTGTATGCCAACCCTTCCATCGGTCGCGCGCGCCAACCAAGACGAACCTCTATTCCTTAACTAGGTCCGTAACACGGTTCGGGTTGGTCGACTAGACCGGCCGCCTACTCAATCAGAAAAATCACACGCGCGCCTTAAAACTGCGCGCCCACATATCTCCTAACTATGCCAAGGCGGCTGCCGGACGAGGCTGTACCTCGCACGACTTATTTCGACCAAACCCATTTTTTCTGTCATCTGCAAAAACCAGGGCGGATACCCTTGTAAGGGTATCCGCGCCGACAACCTACCTGACTATATGAAGCGACGTCCCCGTCGCTACGCCAAATCAGAAAGCTATAGATTCATCCGTACCCCAAATGCTGACGAGAATGGAACCAATCCGATTAGCCGACAGACTCAGGGTTGAGACCTCCAACAATCTGTGCCGACATAACTATATGCCGCCAGGGTTTCCATTGTCCTGACGCTAGGACGCCGGTGTATTATGCATCAATACTACAACATAAGTTTCAAAGGCCACCTCAAACCGCCCTCTCCTCTTTGTCCTAGACAAACGCCGACTTCTCGTTGGGTGTCCCTGTTAGACTCTTTCTCGTAAGCAGAGTCATACCCAGGGACGTGGGCCTTAAACGAGACCTCAGAAGACACTCTCGCCTTCCTCATGAAAATTCTCACAATCGAGTATATATATATACGTATACGTAAATCTCCTCTCAGCCTCTTCTGCAGCCTAGTACAGAAAGGTTAAGTCTTCGTCCTTGCCCACCATAGCCTGGTCGATCGAGCCAGGTCTACGACCTATCGCATTGTTAGCTTAGCGACAGTACCCTTCGTTGGTTACTCAACGATAGGTCCTCTCCTGATAAGCATTCAATCACGACGACCAAACAACTCGACTCGTATCCCCCGCCATTCCACCAGAGAATTTTCTCTGAGGCGTGCATAACCCCTTAAACTCTTCCCTTGTTGGTAGGCGTGGGCCCACAACCAGGTTGTGCTGGCTTGCAGTCATCCAATAGGGGTTGCGCCCTAGAGGTGCTAACCTTTACCATTTAGCTTGGTATTCCCCAATATGCCTTGGGATTAGCACAAGTGTCTAGACGGTGCGTCGCAAAACAGACCACGGGCCCACTGCGGGACTACGCAGGGGTCTGTCTCACTTCTCAAGGTATTTACCAGCCCCCTATGGGACAACATAGAAGGCACGGCCCCTTCTTACACTCACAAACGAATTCACCGCTAGTCTCACACGAGGCCGTGGCCTACTGACTTGATCAGAGACAGCAGACCGCACATCCTATGACATCTCAATGCACTAACTTGTGACCTTCCCAGTTCCACCAATGACCCAATTCGTAATTTGGGTTCCTCTCGTCATTCTTTATCAGTTCAAACACTGCTTTCCATGCCTGTAAATCTATTGACCCCCTTTCACACGAAGGAGGTTTCTCTTAACAGGTCTCCCAACCACTCCTCTCTTTACAGGATGGGCTATCACGTGACCTGGGTTTTATACTTTCGATAAACAACATTCCCACCTTCCCTAATCTGAAGGGGTCTCAACCATAGAACAACTCAACTGAGGGCCTACTTAAGGGTCCTCTTCTCAACTCAGACATGGAAAAAACTCGAACCGAGGGACCAACTTATGGGTCCCCTTCACAACTCGGCCATAAACATTCGGCATGGTAAGCATTCGAGCCTTATAGGCCCGCAAGACCCCTTAGGGCCCTTACACATCTGTCACAAAACAACCGCACTGCCTCCTCTTATACTCGGCTTGTTCACCTGCCCAAAGGCAGATCGCACGAGTATACCGGGGAATAGACGGTATCACATTCACTCAATACAGAATACATGAGATGTATCCCATACATCTCTCACACAAAGCCATCATACATTGGGATAAAGCCACGCATGTGAGAGTGATCGTGATTGCCACAAGAGTAAAGTCCACAGAGTCAGGGATCGAAGATGTATTCGAGAACAAAATATCTCCCTTAAGTCTCAATACAAGCACTCAACTCAAACCCTCAATGCACAACTTGTAGGGTATACTGGGAATAGAATGTCTGCCTCGAGATCAACCCAACACTCAGTTCACTGTTCCACTCTACAGCGTAAACTCATGCCCCAAGTGTTACGGGCTCTCAGGATCCACTCAAAAATATAAACAAGGTTTTTAAACCTCCAGAACTAAAGCACAAGTCGCATAGTTACAGGTATCGCACAACCAAATCTCATCTCCTACATCGTATCATACACACCCAAAAGCTCAAAACCCGATCAAGCACTGTCACCTATGTATGCACAACTAGACAAGACTCTCTCGGTGGACTCAAGCACACACACCTCTAGACTCCACTCGACTGACTCGAAGTATACACATCCTTAGCCCGTCCTCTGCATGCAGAGGGACCCTAGTCCTACTGTCATATAGGCGGGCCAGTCCCTACTCACTCATGACCTCCTGGTTCTGCCTATACAGTTGTGCCCTACCTCCATCTGGAGCTCGCTCCACCACTCGCCCCTATCTATCATACATTCTTCCACCACTCTCTGTCACTTTCCCAGCTGCCTTGTCCCTAAGGAACTTCGGACACTCAAGGGCTCTGTGAACGCCATGCTTGCAGAAGCACTGGTCATCCGACCTCCTCTGACACCTCCTCTTTTTCTTTTGGGACTCTGGCAGCGATGGCATCTCACTGGCCTCCCTGCTCACCTCATGGCTCTAGGGCATATTCCATGATTCCGCCGGCCTCGCCTCCAACACCGGGGTACTCGGCCCCGCTCGCACCTTGCCTCCCTCAGGCCGGTACGCCGGAGTGTCCAATCTCTGTGGCCTACTCTCGCGGGCCCCCCCCCATCACAGTCGTCCCCTCGTCCCTATGCGGGTCTGAAGGCTGGGGAGTCACGGTAGCCACTGGCTCGCTCATAACCTCCTACTGCTGCTCTGAGATGCGCTCTCTTGAGTCGGCTCCAGTGGCCCAGGAGCCTAACTGTGTCCTCAACTCCCCCATCTCTGACACACGCTCCGGGGTCTTGTGTCTATGAGGCCCCCTCTGACGGCATGTCCAACTCCATGGCTGCCACTAACTCATCCATACGAGATGCCTCCTCCTCCATCGCCTCAGGCTCAGTGGACGCTGCTGCCCCCGTAAGGGTGCCCCCCTGCACCTCCAAAAGGATCGTAGGGGACTCCTCTGTGGGGCCCCCTTCTGCCAGTGGGGATTGAGATCTTTGTGCTGGCTCCTCTGTAGGGGTCTCAACCGCCATAGGGGTCGCCTGCTGCGAGGCTAGCTCGGTTGGGGTTCTGAAGCTGAAACTCCCCCCTTCGGCCTTTCGCCTTGCTTCTGCTTCCGCTGGGTCCAGAAATACCTTCTTCATTCCCTCTTGCTGGGATGGCTCCGCCGTCCCTCCCTGGCCGAAGAGTCCCTGTACTTACTTTCCCTGGATACCATACTGGCTCTGCTCTGTCCAGTCGACCACCTTGGTGGCCGAGAGCCTCTCCACGATCGCTGCCATGTCATGGAGCCTCTTCTCCCATTCTGCCTCCTTGGCTTCCATACGGGATCTTCATGCTTGGTTCTCTGCCCTCTCCTCCGCCAGATGGGTAGACAGCTGCTCTACCTCCATCCTCGAGGCCGCCAACTCATCACTGAGCATGGAGTACCATTGGAAGGATGTGATCGCCACCTCGCGTATTCTCCTGTCTGTGCGCTCGATCGCCATCCTAGTGGCTGAAAATCCCAGGTCCCCAGTCTCTCGCGTCTCATCCGCTCTCTCGTCCTCCTGCCCCGCCTCTTGCGATCTCAAACGGGCAGCATCCCTCTTACCCTCATAACTGGCCCAAGTCTCATCAATCCTCTGCTCGCTCGTCAGGGGGTCGATTGGTGGCTTCGACGCTTCCCCTGCGGCCTCCAACCTAACCTTCTCCTCGTATATCTCCTCGAGACGCACCTGCACTCTTGCAAACTTTTCCTCCGCAGTCTCCCTTGGTGACCTCCCCACTTGCGTCCCGTGGGCCTCCCGTAGTGGAACTCCTGCATTCACCCCCTCCTCTGCGTGCGGCAACTCTGGCGGTGGCTCCTCGGATGTCGGCATCTCGGTGTCCGGAGGCTCAGCTACATGCTCAGCTAGCTGCGGTGCCACAGTAGTGGATGTCCTCGCCCTTTTGCTCTCCTCTCGCCCCTCTGGCTCTGCTTGCGCCGGAGGCGGCGTAATAACTTCCAGCGATGGTACTGGAACTTCCTCGCTATCTGGCTCGGTAACTCCCTCAGGCCAGTACCGCGCTACCTGCTCTGGGATCGAGGTAGGAGGAGGGGTATCGTCCCCAACAGTAATAACCCCCTCAGTCCGCGGCTCCTCTGGCCTATGCGGCCCAACTTCCGGCTCCGGCTCAGGCGACTCTTCTGCTGGCTCATATCGTGCGGGCTCGCCTGGGTCTGCCCCCAATTGCGAAGTCCTCCACTGGGACGCATCGAGGTTGGCTTCCAGGCTATCGAGTGGCATCCTCAACGGTACAGTCTCCCTCTCCTCTGGCAGCGTTGGCGACGGGCCCCGTAGGTCACTGCCCGTGATCCGGCGAAATTCCACCTGTTCAAGTTCGTGGGTAAGGGGTAGCTCCGCTACCTGAGCCGGCCCCGTGACCTGAATTGGCTCCATCATCTGGGCGGGTTCCGCTGGCCCCTCTTGCTGCGCCAAGGCCTTCCGGCCTCCCCTAGTCGTAGTAGCCCCTCTTGCCTCCGGATCCCATGGCCTCTTACTCCTCTGTCGTCTCTCCACCCTGGGCTCTGGTCTCTCGGGCTCCAGTCATCGAAATGCCTGTCTCAGCTGCGCCTAGCAGTCCTCCCAATCATGCACCCTATCCCGAATCTGCCTTACCAATGGCCTCTCCGCCCTCCGTGTCCAGAGGGGTAATGTCTGCATCCACTCTTCCTATCCGGTCCCCTGATCGTGCATATACTGCTCATAGGCCGGGATGAACTCCTCCGCATTGCCTTCCTCCTATCGAATAGGCAACCCCTCCCGTCCCAACGGGGAAGCCCTCAGCCTCTGCATCCTCGCCTCCACATCCTCGCCTCCACATCCTCGCCTCCACATCCTGCCAGGTCAAAGCCTCCTCCCGAATATGTGTGATAGGCTCCTCAAAGCGCCCAATCCTCTCCAAGGTGGACCACCCCTCCCGTGCCGCATGAGCCTGGTAGGCATCCAGAAAGAGCTCTATGTTATCATCATCGAAGATAGGCGTGGACTCTTTCCCAATTGGTCTGCGTGAGTCATCCCCTCCTGATGCTCCCAGAGGCCTCTGTCGTGGCCGCGCGCTCCTCTCGCCCCTCTGCATGACTGTCTTTGAAAAGCAGACCTGCACATCAGGCGAGAGAAGCAAGCAGACACACAACAAGGTTAGCCATCAGCCCATCAAACTTTATGATAACACACATGCCCTTTCCTACTCCCCCGCCTGCCCTGACCATAGCATGCAACACCTCAAGGGCTAATCACTCTGAAGAATGTAGAGTTCTTTACCTATTCCCTGGCCACGAACTTCTTGAGCCTGGTTCCTGATACCCAATCCTGCCATCCTGTCTCATCCAACTCCTCGATCTGGTAGGCTCAAAATTCGCCACATCGCAGGATTTTATAGGGGCCCATCCATCTCTTGTCGAGCTTCCTCGACCATTGTTTCTCCAGGGAGGAGTCGTATAGTAATACGACGTCCCCTACTGCCAACGACTCCTTCCTTACTCGTGCCATCTGGTTCCATCTCATCTTGTCCTCCATGCTACTCCTCTCTACCTGACCAGCGGCCTCTCGCAACCTTTCCTCGTCAACTCCTACTTGCCGCGTCCGAATATCGAGCAACTCTTCAAAGAACAAGTTCACTTCCAAGTCCTGGCGCCTCTCTCGTCTTCATAAAGCTTTCTATGGGAAAGGTGGTATGCCTCCCATACCATAGCATGGCTGGCGCGTACTTGGTAGTCCTCTTTACTGTAACGTTTTCTATGAAGAAAGCCGCTCGCAGGAACTTCGGCCACTGACTAGGCTTGCCCTCCGTCCACTTAGCCAAGAGGTTCGTGATGGTACTGTGCTCCCTCTCCACAGGTGCGTTTGCTTGAGGATGCGCGACCGTAGTATAGTTAGCCACTACGCCATACCCCGCAAGCAAGGTCCGCACCTCATTGCAGGTGAATTCCGATCCTCGGTCCATCACGAACTCTTTGACAAAGGGATAACGCAGGTAATACTCTTCGATGCAATTTGCCAAAACTGGGTCAGTCTCTGTCCAGATAGCCCGACCGTCCACAAACCTAGTAAGGTTGTTCCGTGCATCGAAGATGTAATTACACCCACTCTCCCCAGCTGGCATGAACAACAGGTCCAGGTGTATGACCGCCCCCACTTCCCTCTCCAACCTTGGGTGCAGGGGCTCTCCCGACTTTTGCGTTGACCTCTTCTGGCAAGGTACAGAAGACTGACAATACTTGATGACCATTGTCAGCATCTCATCCTAATGGTAAAGCTCGCTTATCTTCGCGCATGTGGCACCTATCCCTCTGTGCCCCCCTGCTATACCATCATGTAGGGCTGCTATAATATCGGTCTGCCGGTTCCTCCCACACACAATCCTTTTGGGATTTCGGACCTGCCGCTTTATAAACAGATGACCATCTCTTACCACGTAGAGGTGCCTCATCTTCTGCGCTTTGGCACTTGCGTCTTTATCCCTCATCTCACATGATAGGAGCAGCCCCAACTCCCGGTAGATTCCATCATACTCCTCCGCCCGAAATGCCTCCTTGATCTCCCCCTCTTCGAACTCATCGTCTTGGCTTTGAGGAACAAAAATTTCGTCCTCAGGACTGAACGAGCCCCTCCGGTCGAAGTCTCATTGCAGGAGCGTATTAGTGAGCAGATACATCTCTCCCATTAGCTGTTCATGCTCCTCTATCTGAGTGGGGCCTTCCTCTATTGTTCTCACTTCCTCCACCAGACTGTGTGTACCTGCCAATGCCAACTTCATCATCCAACCGACATCCTTGCTTCCCCACGGGTCCTCCTCCTGGAAGGGCTTGAGGACTAACTCCTCCTTTTGCCCGTACCCCTTTGACGCTAGCCATATGGGGTGACTGACGCAGCTGGGCACTCGCAGGGACCATTCGTTTATGTGAATGCGGACGTCCTCCTCTTGATCCAAAAACCCATCAACTGGCGGGGTGTCTTCTATCTATTCCTAGTCCGATCTGTCCCAGTTGATGCGGCTTAACCCATCTGCCCTATTCTTGTTCCCTGGGATCCTTTCCAACGCGAAATTAAACATCCAAATGTAGGTCAACCATATCGCGACGGTTGGGTCAGATGGAGTATAATTCTTCAGGGAACATGCAAGTGCAGTAGGGTCCACCCTCAAAATGAGCCTCCAGCCGAAAATAAAGTTCCGGAAGGTCCTTAGGCAATGAAGTATCGCTAGCGTTTCCTTCTTTAACTGAGAGTAGTTCCTCTCAGTTGTATTGAGGATACGACTTTCAAACCTTAGCGGTCTCTCCTTCCCTTCAGTATCTGCCTGAATTAGGACTCCTCCCAAGGCAGTTGGTCCAACGTCCGTCTCGATACCGAATGGTCTTTCCTCTGTGGCTTCATAGTCCGGCGCTCCTAATACCAAACCCCCTTCCTTAAATTCTTCCTTCATTCTGCCGACCGCCTCTTCCTGGTCTTCGCCCCAGACCCACTCCTGGTCCTGACGCACCAACTTCCTTAAATGCTCCGTCTTTGTGGCAAAATCCTTCACGAAGCTCCTCCAAAATCCGCACGTCCCAAGGAAACTCCTCACATCTGTTATCGAGTGGAAGGGTACTGACCACTCAATGATCTTGTCTGTTTTCTTTACATCAGGTCTTCGCTCACTTTCATTACAGACAAAACCTTAAATCGTGGCCTCCCTCATAAAATGCTTCGACTTGGGGCCGCTTGCCGTCAGGTTGTGCTCCTCCAATAAACTCAGAACCTGATCGATGTCCTAGACATGCTTCCAGACGAAGCGCCTCACTCCAGGCATCACTTCGTCTTCCTCCTTCTCCTTTGGACCTTTGACCGCCAGGTCATCGATATAGGGCTGGGTGATGTGTGGACTAACCGTCTGCATGACTCTAATCATGTGCCTTTGCACCATGGCCACCACATTCGTCCAACCTTGAGGGGCTACATTTATATGAATCAGCCCTCTGGGTGTGTGCATTGCCGTTACAGGTCTGTCTGGCGGGTATACATGGAATTGGTCGTACCCAGAGTAAAGGTCTATAAGCGAGATTATAGGCCTCCCCGTGCACGACTCTGACAGCGCGTCCGCGTTCCGCAACCCTCCCTCATCCCCCACCGTCACCGCATTTAGTCGCTGCAAGTCTTGCACCCACCTTAGCGTCCTGTTTGGTTTGATAAAACAAAACCAAGGGGAGGCATACGGCCCACTTGAGTAGTCAGCCACGTGCGTCCGCATCTTGTCGTCCAGGTAGTCCACCACCTTCTTCTCCTCATCCGGATTTGGATACCGTGCGCCCCTTAGATTCCATGGCTCGTGTAGAATGATGTGGATTCGTATCATTGGAATCTTATCCACATCCAGCCTCCCACGCTCGTCGTCATCAAATGCATACGCGCGATGTCTCTTCTTCATCACCGCCACCATCAGGGTCCTCTCCTGTGGTGACAGGAAGCCAGGTTCACCAATTATCAGCTCCCCCTCATTCTCATTGTTGATACGGCACGGCCCGGTCTAGGGGCCGTACCCTGAAGGACTTTCGAGCCTCGGTCGACCCCACTGCGGGTCCCATTTGGCTCGACCCGTCCACGCTCACGCTCAGGGCGCGGGTCGTTCGTCCCAGGGGCACCCCCACATAGTGCTATGAAATGGATGGGGGTGAGCCTTTTTGCGAGAGGGCTTTACATTGGGGGATGTAGCTCCGCTCTCGCATCAAGATGGTAGCTCTTTGGACATTCGTGGCGTTTTCTCGATTCGGTTAAGTCGGACCAGGCAATTGCTCCTTCCAATACACAAGCAGTCCAGGGAGTTCATTGAGAGTTTGTCTTCTTACCGTGCGCAGGCCAAGCGTCATCCATTGGGCCACGCACCTTTTCACTAAGCCTATCGGCTCGGGACAGCCTCAGCATCATCCTTGGGGTAAGGCGGCGTCGCCCGGACCCCTAACCGCTATATTTTTTTTGCGAGAGCCACGAGCATCGCATCACCTATCCAAGACCGCTTTTAGTCTTTTCAGGGGTCGCATTGCACATGTGAGAGACATTCCATGCAACCTCCATACAAGCCAAGTCCATGCATCAACCATCCACCCAAGCGCCCGACCTCAACTCATCCCGCATCCATGGCTTAAGCCGGACCCAAGTCTTTTCCTTAGCCAATCTCCCACCCTAGTCCTCATCCGCGGGTCCAGCCCCGTCCAAGTCGTCTCTAGCTACTCACCTGTGCAAGACCACACAAGACAAATGACCAAGCACAATCCCCATTGGGGTCAACACATCGCCCCTTCCCGCAATCCTAAGTTGCCCTTGTCTTTCAATTCCCCTTATGAGTTCCCTTCCCTTTCACATAGGCAAGCCATGCGATCGTCTCAGTCATGCATTCCAGGAGGATGGTTGAATCAAACTGACCTTGTCCAAAATCAGCACTCCTTTTCGCTTTCGCAAATGCTCTCAATAGTCCCGTATCCTTCCCTTCTTGGTGGCACAAGGGAACGACAACCCTTCCCTTGCCCCCGCTTTCCACCAAGTGAGGACTAAGTTCTTTTTCGTTCGTTCCCTAGCAATGTAACAGGTAAGGGTAGAGGTTAGACGCATGCCATGGAGGGGGAAGGGGTGACGAAAGGGTTAGGGGCTGAAAAGTTTTTAAGGAATGGAGGAAGACGGAGGGAGAGGGAGAGGAAAAGAGAGAGAAAGAGGGGGAGAGGGAGAGAGAGAAAAAAAAGGAGAGAGAGAGAGAGAGAGAGAGAGAGAGAGAGAGAGAGAGAGAGAGAGAGAGAGAGAGAGAGAGAGAGAGAGAGAGAGAGAGAGA